TCTCCTTGTCCACCTCCCCTCCTCCTCCAGCCCCTTCATTCTGGCGTCAGACACGCTGGTTTGTCGTTGACGGAGACAACAGCATCATTGTTCTTCTGCATCGCAACGAGGACGCGATGACCTCACTGCACAGCTAGCCCAGCTCCGCCTACTCCCCCAAATCCAGCCCAGATGTAATGGCCTCCAGATGTGGAACCAGAAGCAGTGAGACCCACACACACACAGACACACACACACGCGCACAAATGTAACAACATGCAAAGTAAGAGTAGGTGGAAAAGGGAATGAGCAAATATGGACAAGGAAAGTAAGACAGAAAATTGCATCTGTGTGCAATGTTAATGGGACTTTTGCCTGCCTCTCCTGAGCTCAGTACTCCCACACTTCAGTTTTCCCCCAAATAACTAAAAAAACACATCAGCTACACACTACAAACTATTACTTATTGTATGTGAGTTTGAGAGATTGGAAGAGAAAGAGGATGTGGAGGGAGTAAAAGCAACCCAAACAGACATATTTCTAGCTATGGTACTGCCAGACCTTGATCTCATTCATATTTTATACATCACTTAGAGAAGCCAAGCTGGGTTTGTGTGTCACACAGTCTGTCTGCCTGTCTGCATTTAAAATGCACAAATTTATGGGGTTTTCTTTCAAACTCATTTTCACCTTTTCCCCATTCATTTTGTAGTTTCAGTTATAAAGTCCTTTTTAGATGTAATGATCAGCATTTATGAAGGGCAGTTTAGGGTAGAAAAGCCTCTGAAGCATGCACTTTCGTAAGACACTGGCTTTCAGTATTTCATCACACATATTTACTTTACTACTTGCTCATCTCAACAACCAGCTGTCTGTATTTAGTCTGCCACAGTCTCATGTGAATCAGCTTCTTCAGGTTTTCTTTACCGTTGCCGTTAATTGTTAACAGCTACTTTCCACACAAAAAACCACACAAAACATAAAACCAGATCAGGGTACCTATACACCGTTTAAGGAAGCATAACCTTGTGTATTACCCACAAGCATATTAGAATAACTCACCTAGATCACACTGAATTCAAAGCTGAATACTGTATATGACATATAATCTAAAACGTTTCTAGTCAACTGCAAAGTGAGATTATAATGAAGCAAACTTCTCATTTCTATCTGAATTTACTGACAATTTACATTGAGAGAGGGGAGTGCACATGGATGTCGGTGCATGCTATTTTAGGCACTGCATGCATCCATAAAAGCTGCTATATAGCTGAGATGCAGATGGGAAGCCAGAGGTCTTGGCCTTGAGAAACTCACAACCTCAGCATGTTCTTTTGGCTCCTTCTTTTTCCAAATGTCTAGCAGTAATCTGCACGTCTCATCCTCGGGCACTTTTTATTTGTAAGAGCAAATCTGTGAGTAAAACGAAAGCGTGTTAATTGTAAAAACAACTGTTTTGTGTTCAGGCTTTAGGTGATTTTTGATGCACTGGAAGGAAAAAGGCTGGATCTTTTACTATCTTTTAATCTTTTAATGATCTTTTAATATATTACTGTTTATATATAAGTTAGGAGGTAAATTTATTTATATAGTGCCTCTACAGACAAGGTACTGAAACCACCTGAGACCAGACATAAACAAAGTAAAATGCAACACAAATGATAATTTAAAAGATGAGTCTTTGGTGGCTCACAGATCATAGACTCGAGGGCAAATTATAGATTGAAGGGGCACAACTGAGGTTTTAGTCTGGATTTTGGGATGGATAACAGGCCCTGATCAGAAAACCTGAGAGTCCTGCTGAGGGCATATGGCTGTAAAAGGTCACTAATATACTGTAGGTAGGTGATTCACCATGCAGAACCCTGAAGGGATGAAAACCAGAACTTTAAATTCAATTCTGAATTGAATAGTGAGCCAGCACAGAGAGATCAACAGGAGTGTAACGTGGGAGCGCTTGGAGGATCTAGTCAAGAGCCTTGCAGCAGAGTTTTATACAATCTGCAGATGATCCATGGAGGTTTTATTGATTCGGGTGAAGATTCAGTTACAACAATCGTGCCGAGGAGAAATAAAAGCGTGAATAAAAATCTCAGATTTTGATGTAATAGGAGCAATTTATTGATGTTTCTCAACTGATGAAAACAGGATCCAACCAGAGTTCTGACCTGCAAATCCAAGTGACAGTTTACCTAACTGCTGATTTAATGTGGGGAGAGCCGACATCCAGGACTATACGCAGAACAGACGATATTTTTAGAATTAAGAACTTTAGTTTAGGTTTAATTAGGTTTAAAAGTGATGTAAAGGACAGTGTCATAAAATGAACCATTAAATAAAAGCATTTAACAAATCTGATGTAAAGAAGCAATTACAAGAGAAATAAAACAGGTCACAGAAAGCAGCTCTCCAGAGCTACAGTGTGAGAGGGGGACTAATGATGACTGCAACCGATATACCCACCCAGTGCCTCAGTCTCATGATTAACACATGCTGATTAATAGTGTCAAAGGAGTCAGACCACTAGTTTTGCTTGTATCCCTGCACATCAACAAGACATTTGAGACTCTGAGGAGAGCAGATTCAGTAGAGTGGGCTCAACTGAATGAATGGGCTCTAAAATGTTTTCCTTTCACCTTTTATTTCACTTGTGAAACTATTATTTTCAATTTCTTATATAACTCTTTAAATCATTCACACAGACCTTTTGGCAGAAACTCATTAGTATCTCATCTGCTGATTATTTCTAATGACCTGATTGTTTCATTTCATTGTACAGTCTGCATCAATAAACTGTCCTAATATAAACATGCTTCCAATGCATTTTAAGTGGCAATCAAAACACTGAACAGTAGGACAAATGACTGTTTAAATATTAGTGTTTCTTTATCTTGAGGTGCTTCCAGTAAATTTAAATCAGTTTATACCATCCATATTTATACGCCTTCCCTTTAAGACTTGCTTGTATATGCAATAAAAAGCAGCAGAGAGTGGGCCATCTGCCACTGTGGCGTCTGCAATGTACATGACCACAACTACTACCTTGTCTTTCTGCTGAATCAGTGGACAACCCAGGGAGAGCACAGGGTACACGGTGATTAAACTGAGCCCACAGCGCAGAGGAAAGCACAGATAGGGTGTGATAAACTGGCTGAATCACAACAGCACTGCCTCATTTTTCCAATTATAACATTAACTATTGATGCAGCAGCAAAGCATGTCTGCTTAATGCCTCGCTGCACCTTCTTGGCCTTTCCTGATCATGGGTGTGGCTATGAAGGAGGAAAGGGAAAAAAAAGACACTGGAAACTGTCAGTCAAAGTGTCTGACGATTGCAGATTGAGGCTCTAAGCCTGTAGTTAGCTGCAGTAAGTCAAGTTGGATGCCACTCAAACCAAATCACTGATCACTCATTTGCTTTTCTGATAGTTCTGGAGGGTTTTTTTTTTTCCAACATAGAAAACAAACCCTGCACAAGGACACATCATAGCCAGAATAAACGGATATTGAAAAGGCAATCTGATGAACTGATGGACTCACATCTTCTAACATCTATCATTACTAACAGAAACAAAACCACATTTGAGATCACATTACATGTGAGACCACAGACTGACCGCTAACCACGCCGATATATTGTAATTTAATCTCAACTCACCATCCATTATCTCTTTTGTTTTTTTACATTTTTAGTATGATGAGCATCTTAAGCTTCTCATAGTTCAAGGTGAAGGTTTAGCAGTGTTGTAAGGAAGAAAAAGATGCAAGTTAATATGTTTTAATGCCATGATTCATACAATACTGAGACATCTGCGCCACACACCAAGCAAAATTAACAGTGAGGCAGTCAAAGCAGCACAGAGTGAATGAATTATAAAACAAATATACCATCTTTAGAGTTGCTAAATTGCTGTTTAAATGATGGTACTGACGTATATGATATTATTTTCTCTTAAAGCAACAGGCTCACTTTACAAAGAACATTACAAAACTGTAGCTGTCTTCTCAACTCATATAAGATAATTTCCTGATATAAAGGGTTTTGTTTGGAACAGCATTCCTCGTTACAAAAGACTCTTTTATCTTTAAATATGTAAGAATAATCGAAATGTTCTTTCTTAGAACGAGCAAGGCATTGTACAACAGAGATCGTTTTTAATCCCAAACACAATTCTCAACACATATTTCCTCATTTTTCTTGGCTGTGTGGTTTCATGACTACTTGCTTCATTTTAGGCTGACTTTCATGCTGTGTCTAGAAAATAACTGGCAGTTAAATTTCACCAAGTGGCTTTTTAAAATTTCATTCTCTTTCTGCTTTTGCACTGGTTTATTTCTCATGAGTTAAAAAAAGAAAAAGCTATACAAATGAACACACGCACACACAGACGCACAAAAATTACACACAGGAAGCAGGGGTCTGCAGCATGGCGGACTGTGCTGACACAGAAAAGCTGGACCAAGCCTGCAGCCTCCACATTGACAGTGCTACAACTTAACACACTGCACACACACATACTCTCCCTCTCTCTCTCTCTCTACACACACACACACACACACACATACATATATATATATATATATGTGTGTGTGTGTATATATATATATATATCATGCATTCCAGACCAGGAAGGGGATGCAGGAAAATGAGCAAAAAGGAGTGCAAAGCTGATTTTCTACAGAGACAGGCTGAAGACACAGAGCAAAGACAGCAACACAGAGAGGAAAACAGAGCGTAGCATTAAATGGCTGATGTGCTTTAAGGTGAGATATCTGTGGTGGGAGTGCGAGGGCAAGTGAAGAAAAGAGAGGCAGAGTGAGATGAAGAGAGGGAGGAGTGTACACGGTGTGCCGCGTGTCTCCTCTCCAGTCATGACTGAGCAGCAGCCTCACCATGACGGAGCTCCCGTTCCCATGACAACCCCGGCTGTCAGATGGAGGGAAGAGCAGAGGAGGGATGCGGGCGAGGAAGGGAGCGATGGACGGAGATAGAAACATAAAGATGAACGTGGTTTACTTACGGGGCGTTTGCCGTGCCGTTCCGCTGCAAAGGTGTGTCTGACATGGCTGCAACACCTGCTTCTTGCGCTCCCTTTTCCTCTCTCTCCTTCCTCGTCCTCTTCTCCCACTCCTGTCCTCTAGTGTCCTTTTGACAGAGTTATGTCCTCCTCCTCCTCACCTCCTCGTCCTCCTCCCTCTTTGCCTCTGTATCTTCTCCACCTCCTCCTCTCCTCTCCTCCTCCTCTTCCTCCTCCTTCTTTCCTTCTGCCTTTTCGGTGTGTATTCTCTATACGCCAGGATGTGTCAGAGCAGCTGCTGCCGCCGCTCCTGCATCACCCCGCTCTGCTAGCAGGAGGCAACGGGTGCAAGCATGTGCGTGTATGTGTGTGAGTGAGAGAGCGAGAAGGACATATAGACAGAAAGAGCGAGAAAGAGAATTTAGTCAAAAGATATGGTTAAGGAGGGAGTGATGAAAGAAAGCATTGACTGTTGCATAGAGATATAGCCAGGGATAGGGAGGAGAGGGTGGCAAAGAGGCAGCAGAGAGAAAGAGAGAGAAACAATGGCTTTAGGGAGTTGAAGGATGATGAAAGGAGTGGCCAGCCTGTTTTCACTAACTACCTCTTGCAAACAACCTTTCCCCTCTGAGGATGACGAGGGGTTTCTTTAAAGAGACAGGTGGGATAGTAAAAGACACTGTTTGGTCAATTTAAAAAAAGATTTCAGAAATGGAAGATTTCTGAAGGGATAAGAGTGACAGGACTGCGCTGTGTTATAACACTGATTTGAACATGACAGAACACACTGTCTTACACTGACTGGCCATTTCATTAGTTACACTTAGCTAGTACCTTCAGAGCTGCTTTAATTCTTCATGGCGCTGATTTAACAAGGTGATGGAATCATTCGTCAGAGATTTTGGTCCATATTAATGTGACAGCATCACAGAGTTGCTGCAGATTTGTACATCCATGATGTGAATCTCCTGTTCCATCACATTCACGGTGCTCTGTTTGATGGAGGTTTGGTGACTGTGGACAGTGAACACATTGTGATGTTCAAGAAAAGAATTTGAGATAGTTTGAGCTTTTTGACATGAAATGGAGATGGTCAGAAGCAATACTCAACTAGGCTGTGGCATTTAAAGGATGCTCAGTTGGTACTAAGGGCCTCAAAGTGTGGCAAGAAAATATCCCCCACACCATCTCACCTATATGAGCCAGGATGGGTCCAGGGCGTCATGTTGTTTACACCAAATTCTGATCCTGCCATTAGAGTGTTCATCAGACCACACAACGTTTTTCCAATCTTCTATCGCATACTTTTTGTGAGTCTGTGCAAACGGTACCCTCAGTTTCCTGTTCTGAGCTGACAGGGATGTCACCCATTATGGTCTTCTGCTGCTGTAACCCATCTGCTTCAAGGGTTGACATGCTCTTCTGCAATACTTTGGTTGCTGTCAGCCCAAGCAGTCTGACCACACTCCTCTGAAATCTAACGTTAATAAGGGATTTTCTTCCAGAGAACTGCTTCTCACTGGATATTTTCTCTTTTTCGGAGTATTTTCCTGAACCTTAGCTAGGATTGAAAATCCCAGTAGATCATCAGTTTCTGAAATATTCAGACTAGTCTGGCAGCAGCAAACATGCCATGTTCAGAGTCAATTTAAATCACCTTTCCTCAATATTCTGATGCTCATTTTGAACTTTAGCAGGCCGTCATAAACATCTCTAAAATCCTAAATGTACAGAGGTGCTGTTATCAGAGTGGTTCATTCAATATTTACGTTAACAAGCAGCTGAACAGGTGTACCCAGTATGGTGGTGGTTGACTATCCAACATGCCTGAGTTTTACAGCGAGAATGCATCCAAAGCTAAAACACAACAGAAACTGAAAATGCATCCTTACCCCAGCAGCTCTCGTATCTCTAACAAGAGCCCCTCTCACCAGACAATCACGTGTTAAATTATTTGTGTCATATGTGTTGAAAAATTAAGCCAAAGGTCCACAGAGATGTTTGGTTTTAGATTGGATATGAAGCCTGTTTTTCTGGGTGAAAGTCCTCTAAGCTCTTCAGCCACGTACGTCTATCTATGTAGACTATTTTGCTCTTACCCAGCAAGACCTGTGATTGGCTGAAATCTCCCGCCACAGGCTATATTTTATTAAGAAAAAAACCGTAGTTTAGAATTTTTGCTTGGACATGTAATGACTACATTTGGGAGATTGCAGTTAGTTCCTTCAGATTTCAGCTTGAGAAATGAGAAATATCTAATACGTCAAGGAGAAGTGCAGCACACTGAACGATAAATGTCCATTTTTCTCTCTATAACTCCAAAAATATCTAACAAAACTGTAACGTGTTCTTTAATTTGTCTTTCACTGTAACAGTTTATAAATATCCACAGCTGGCAGCAGTTTCCCGTGTCTAACTACAGATCTCTCAGATAAGTACTACAAACAAACTGAAAACACAAAGAGGATTGTGTATCAGCTATTGAATTAACACAACGTATTACAGATATTCCCAATGTAAAAGTGGTTTGTGGCTTTTTGGATGTCATCAGATATTTTAAACTGACTACTGGTTGCTACAGTAAGTGCAGGGTAGTGATTGCTGTTTAGTCTATGGGAACTTTTCTCAGAAAGCTGAACAAGGAGCTCAGATGTCTTTTTATGGGCTCTATAACCTGCTGGATGCACACTTAGCAGCAATGAAAGGGGGCCAGGGAAAAGCAGAATCTAATCTTTCTGGTTTCTCTTATTTCCTTCTTTTAATATTTGACCAAGTCCATGAGAACGTGCCTCACTCTGACATCTTTCCTTTTTTCCTGCTGTTATTAACCAATATTTTTCCCCCACTGACAGGAAGAAGGACATGAAAACATTTACAATGCAATACAAACGATTACAGCTGAAGTAAAACAAAAACTCAAATCCCTTAGGGTTAAGGTGCTACTCATCTACCACCGTCACCCATCTGTCTGTCATCTATCCCAGAATCTCACTAGCTAAGTGGAGCACACTTTTAAACCAATCAATATTCCCCCACTGGCCACTTTATTAGTACACCTCTTCAACTGCCTGCTGATGCAAATATATAATCAACCAATCACTTGGCAGCAACTCAACACATTTAGACTCAGGATGTAGACATCATCAAGACGACCTGCTGAAGTTCAACCTGAGCGTCATAATGGGGAAGACAGGTAATTTTGCACAACGTATGGTCTGTAGTTGTGTGTGCCAGATATTTACAGACAAATTATAAGACTTAGGAGGTTAAATAAGTTGTAAAGCTATTTTGTATTATAGCTCAATACTGCCATAAATGTTCTTGGTCTTGAGTTTTTTGCTGTGCAGGTCATTTACCCGGCTCAAGGACAAAGTGAATATCACATTTCTTAAAGCACTGACATGTTTCACATTCCTGGTTGTCACACTTTTGTCATCACTTGTATGGTTTCTTCTCAGCTCATCTTCTTCCTCACTGCTGAGCCCTCTTTCTCCCTCTGTGTCCCTTCCCATCAGTTTGTGTTGAGTCCATGGTTATCGTGTTGCTTGGTATGTCAGCTATTTAGAGGCAGCTCTTTAGGTTTAGGTAGCGACCTTAAATGGGCATCACTCTTGCACCCTCCACCCTCTTTTACACACACCAACACTCAATCCCACCCTGGAGGTTGTGTTTTACTAGTGTGTGTTTGGTTATTCATGTTGCTGAGCGTAGGCAGTATATTATAATGGTAATATATAGATTTTAACATATACAGTTAATGAATTATCCCCATGGGCTTGGTTCTTCTTAAGTCTTTTTCTAATATAGAAGAAATAGTGATGCTCAGAAGTGACTCATTTATAAACTCATAACTTTGAGAAATTAAAAGTTTTAATGTTATAGGTTATTTACTGAACTCAATTTGTTTATGAGCACATTTAAGAAAAAGTTGAGACATATGAGACAGAAAATTGGATCAGTTAAATTCAAAGCACAGAAAACATAAATGGATGTGCACTAACACAACAGCATTGTGCAGAGGATTTCACAGAAGAGAGACATATTTTCATGACAAGGCATGAAAAGGCAACAGAAAATAAAATGGTTGTTAGATATTTTACTGATAAAACCTTTGAGCTCTTTATTTCAGCCAGTAGTTGTGGAGTTTGCTGAAGGGCTATGATCACCAGCTTCAGTTAAAACACGGTTTTGTGTGCAGGAGAAGTTATATATATATATGTATATAACTCAGGGAACTCACTAAAGGACATATTACTGAATTCCAGGAGCATGTGTCAGACTTTGATGTCTTAAAAATAAGTCATTGTCACCCTTAGATGGGTAGGGTGAGGTGAAACCTAAAACTTGACTGAAATTTGTGCAGGATGCAGAAGAACTGATCCATTAGAGAGCAGACTAATTTAAGTCAAATGTTAAATAACTTGTATTAACAAAAAACAGAATTAATTTCAATGTAATATTTAAAGAAGACTGGGGGCACGAGTTTATCTGTGAAATTTAACTGTTAAGGATGTTGAGTTCTGAGATTATGTGGCGCTAATTGTTTAATATTAGGAAACATTCATATGGAATATTATTTGCTTCAGGATGACTTTTAAATACAGTCTGAAGCTGTGGTTATTATACCAATCACAACTCTATGGATGTGTTTGAAAATGACATTTAAAAATATATATATATATTTTTCTCTCCATGTTTTGGCTCATTGTTGACATTTAGCAAGAGTATTAGAATCTGCCACATGTGGCTTTTTTCCATTTTCACTCTGCTCCCCTGCAGTTCTGATATTATGAGTTGTGGCCTTAGATTAGTGCTGGGACATTTTCTGCCTTTCAAAGACTGAGTGAAGAATATTGATGCAGGGGAAACTGAATATTATGAGGCGTTGTTTTGTGCCCAGGCCACCAGTTAGTCACATTTGGGTTTAGTAGCATTCAATAATCAAGTGACTCATAATGTGAACTACCCTGTAATATCTTACAGTCGTACTGCATATGTAACCCAAGATGATGAACATTGCAGAATATCTTTAAAATCATGAAGTCTACTGCCATCTTATGGATTTATAAAGCTATTAAAGCTGCTTCCTTGTTCAGTAGGGATTTGTGTTTGTCCCAGGAACAAACCAGGGATCACTATGGAGCCATTCTAAAATTTTAAAAGGT